CTGCCAATTATCTTTTAATTTATATATATATCAGTGTTACAGTTTAAAATCTTTATTGTCAAATTGGACATAATGTAGGTAATGGGGTGGGGGTGGTGTTTAGCCACTCCAAAGTTGTTCCCACTTATTTTTTTTAATACATACAAATACTCAGTCTGTAAGGTTCATATGTTAAAATATGTATTTGGCAAATCAAGTGCAATTTTGCATTTTAAAGTACAGAGATTATGAAATTTCAAAAAGTCAGTCTGCTTCCTGAAGTAACATCTTTAAAAGAAGATTAGCTGTGACCATATAAGATACTTTTACCCTGGATCATTTTCCTGAGAAGACACAGATGTACATTCATCTTGGAAGCCTGAGAAAGAAAAAAATGAACATTGAAAATAGTTCAAAAGTAATTATACCTTGTGCATTAGGACTAGTAGTGATCACTTACAGTGATTATCAGTGTGACAAACTCAAATGAAATGTTGTGTTTTAATTGCAGCAACTGCTCAGCCAGGGACTGAAATATTCAATTTGCCAGCAGTCACTACCTCAGGTAGGTTTCTCAGTAAAAGAAACAACGTATGTTTCTGAATAAGTAAACTAATACCTTATACCTTTCATTTATATGCTTTGGGGAGTCCAGTAAATGAGGAAGATGATGAAAATTTAAAAGCTAATAGCATACATGAACATTTGTTTCCCATATCACAGAGAAAAGCAAAAGGATGTTTCAGAAAATACTTAAATGGAAACTTGAGCAAGAACTATTTATTTCTGTGTCCCCTGCAAATCTGACACACAGGTAGAAGGCATTAAATTGGTTAGCATCTCACTTAAACAAAATTTAAATATAATGTAGTTCAACAAAACTTGAGCTTAGTTTATCAAATACAATTTAATTTATAAACTGGGGTATTTAAAATACTGATTTTTTTTTTTGCTATGATAAATACATACTAAAACCCACTAGTTTTCTGTGAGATGAGGAAATTAAATATAATCTATAATTTTACTGAGTTAGAGGCAAGTGAGGCAGAGAATTGAACTGAAATGTGGGAGATAAGAATTGCTGTATCTGAATCTTGAGTTGTACCACAGACTGACTTTACATGATTTTGGCCAGTCACTGCCCCTTCAGGTACAGTGTTTCTCTCTTTTAAATGGAGAAAGTACTGATCTCCATTAATTTAGATGAAAGACAAGCTTTTGGAATAAATATTTGCCACGTATCACACTTCATAAAACAAATTAGTATGAATTATTGAGAGAAGTATGTTTCTGGTCTCTTCTCTTAGAACTGAGTAATAGCTGCAGTTTTTACTTAATATGCTGTCACAATCAGCATGCTCAGCTTCCTTTGCTATTTGGAAAAAAACCCAACAAAACAAACAGTAAAAGTTGCTGTCTTGCCACGAGTCTGACGTTTAGTGACACTACTGACGTAGCTCTTCAGTGTTTGCTGCCATGTCTAACTTGTAGCCGTTGTGAGCTGCTTTGGAGCATGTAGCTTTGCATTTAAAAAATTCTCATCTTTGTTTTTTTTCCCCCACTTTTCTGCCTCTTGCTAAAATCTTTTCCTGTATCCCTTTGTAATTTCTCTGAGATATGTTTTTTGCCTCCCCTCCCACTTTTCCCTGTATGTTTTCTTTTATCTCCCAGGTGCAGTCAGTTCTAGGGGTCATTCCTTTGCAGATCCTGCCAGTAATCTGGGTCTGGAAGACATTATTAGAAAAGCATTGATGGGAAACTTCGATGACAAGAGTGAGGAGCATGGAGTTGTAATGTCGCAGTCTATTGCAGTAGCACCTGGCAGTTCCAATGCTGCAGTATCAGCAGCTAATGAGACACGTAGGGAAGAAGCTAATCCATCACCAAATTCAGGTGAGGTATTGCAGCTCCTAAATGTGTCATGGTCTTAAAGAAAAAAAAAAAGGGTTTGAATAAGCTTGGTGTCACTGAAAATCACTGTGTTTCCTCCAGAAGTGATAGAGATGGTGTTTCCATTCCCTCTAGTGGTCCTGGCTTTCAGAATGTTGCGGGTGACTTCAGGAGCATTAGCCAGTATTTCCTGGAGAATGACAGCACTGATGAAATGAGGAAGAGATAACAGGGTGTGTTAGATACCCAGAGCTTCTCAGTGGTTTGATGAAAATGCTTGTGTAGTACATCACCAATAAGGAACACTTGAGAGTGGGAGCTGGCTTGAACTGAAAACATCTCTCTTCCTAAAAATGGAAATATTTCTGTTGTGATAAGAATAGAGATTTTTCTATCAGTGCTGTGTTGGAAGACTAGCCTCTGCAGACACTAATTGTAGTAAATCAGCATTCCAGAAGGCACCAGTGTGAAACTTCCATTTTGCTGCTACATGATAATTTCTAGAAACAAACATACAGAAGCTAAAACGCAGTGTAACATTTTTGTAAAATCTTTCTCTTTCCAGGAGGGGGAGTCAGCAAGCAGAAGCTAATCGGCAAGTCAAATAGTAGGAAGTCTAAGTCTCCGATTCCTGGGCAGGGATATTTGGGAACCGAAAGACCTTCTTCTGTCTCGTCTGTACATTCAGAAGGGGACTACCATAGACAAACTCCAGTGTGGGCCTGGGAAGATAGGCCTTCATCAACAGGTGAGAAATGGGTTTCCTTCAAACGTAACAAACTAGATGTGATAGTTGTAGAAAGGTCAGATATAGACATACTGTAACATTGGTATATTGGTCAAAAGTTTACAGCGAATGAGGATTTTCTGAAACAGCCTTGCTGCTAGTTGTCACAATGAAAACCAGACAAACTTTCTGATACAGATCTCCATCTCTTAGCTCATGTTTTTGACTCGGAGAAACTCTTTCTGATTCAGGTTCAACACAGTTTCCTTACAACCCGTTGACGATGAGGATGCTCAGCAGTACACCGCCAACATCCATTGCGTGTGCCCCACCGTCCATGAGCCAAGCAACCACTCACCAACAGAACAGGATATGGGAGCGAGAGCCTGCACCACTGCTTTCAGCACAATACGAGACTCTGTCTGACAGTGATGACTGAACTATGCAGATTTTTTTTTCTTTGTTGTTTTTGTTTGTTTGTTTTTTTTAATTTGCGGGTCAAAAAGAGAAATCTATTTTTGACTTGTGCCCACAGAGACTTTCCATGAGAGCAAGGGCCACACAATGAAGAATTGATGGAGAGTCCGTTAAATGCCTTCTGCACAAGCCGTGTGTTGGAGGATCGTGGTCAAGAAGGTTGACTTACTAAAGATAAATATGTAAAGAGTTTTTAAAAATGTGGACTATTCCTGTTCTACATCTATTTGTAAAGAAAAACCATAATGTCTTTAAATCATTCTTCTGTAAATAGAGAGTACTTTTTGCAGTGTTTTTTCCCTTGCTATAGTATCTGGTGTACTTATGTTCAAATCATTGCCTAAACTTTGGGGGTCATTTTGTAATTTTTTTTTAAGCATTTTCTCCAGCGTAGAGTACTCTTCATAACCCTAGCCTCCCTACCAGCCTAGCCTAACCATAACCCTAGCCTCCCAACCAGCCTAGCATTATTACCCATTTAATGCCGTGCCACTTCTTGCAGGCATTGTGCTTTTATATATATATTTTTTTTTCCCCTAGACACACTTTCTCAGTGGTGTTCAAGCTCTTGTGAAAATGTTGATTTTTAAGACTGACCCCTTAATGAATTCTGTACATTAACATAGTCCGGTTCGCTGGAATAAGATGATATATTTCTTTGAATTTTAAATTCTGCCACATTGTAAATTTTTGGTGCAGTTGGTTTTATTTAGCAACACTGCAGAAATATTATTGCATGGGTATGTTATGGTTCATTTTTAAAAGGATAAAAAAACAAAAAGAACAGCTTCTGGAGGCATACCTCAATGTTATGCACACTGGGAATTTTAACTGTGCCCCAAAAGCCTATCTTAGTGTTTTCTGTTTCTGCATTGTGTGCAGTCAAAACAGGCTACTAAATTTTACTGTCATATTTAACCACAGCAAATGGCTTATCTGAAAAGAGGCTCTGGGTGGGTTGATAAATCCTTTAAGAAGAAAAACCTCTACATCCCAGGTTTAAATAAAACAAAATGCTTTTTTAGAATAATTGAGCAACATACGAGTCACCTATTTGGCTTCTGTTACAACCTGTTTGAATAGGTACTGTGATTTTTACCTTCCTCCAGTCTGATTTAAAAATCTTTATTTAATAATTATTTTAAAGTCTGCATCCTCATCCCAAGCCCCACCCTGTCCCTATAAGCAAGCTTTTGGTGGAAGTCCTTACAAATGCTTGGCTTAACTCCTAAAGTGTGCAATACTTGTTAGGATGATTTTTATTTTTATTTTTAAATTGTATATGGTACTAGGAGAGTCTCCTTAATCATTCATCTATCAATGCCTGCTATGATATGCTTGTAGCTCATGTATACATACATCTGGTTAGTGATATCACAGGGTGTCCAGACATCCATCTTCAAAAGCATCTTATTTTCTGCTGCACTGACCTCAGGAAGTAAATTTAAACCTTCTGGGGTAGAAGGACTGATTTACAGATAGCACTGAGTTGGGGGGTGGCATGGTCTGTCAGATTCCAAACTGCTTTTGCATCTCATTGATGAACAGTCTTTGCCTTGAAGTTATTTTCCAGTCAAAATATTTTTTAATTTAACAGTGTATTTGCATTATGTTGTATGGAAGGTAGAATGCAGTTGTGTAACCTTACGCTGTGTAAGCTCTACATCTTACGGAAGGACTGTAATGGTCCAGTTACAAAGAGGAGGAAGTCTACAACTATCTGTCAATAGCAAATTTACTTGGAGTACTTCAGAGGAAAGCCTTTTTCCCGCCCAAGTGTGGAAAAGAAAAAATCCAAAGGAACTCATTTGAAAACTTGACACTGTGTTGCAAACACGGGATTATTTTGCTACTTTTTTAAACACTACATAACAGTAGATGAGTTGGCAGTCTTGCAGTTTTTCTCTAAGAAAGATTTTTTTTTTTTCTCACTCTCCCATCCTTTAAGCCAGAAGGATAAAGTAGTGAAGTTTTCATCCTGTTTGTAGACCTGTGGTCTTATTTTAACTTTTTTGTTCCCACAGCAACATATACTGGAAAAAAAACAAGTTGATCTGCCCTTTCGGTAGATTGAAATTTGGAGTGGAGAGTTAAGTTCCATTCTAAAACTCACTTTTCTCACTTTCGTAGCGTAACAAATACAACGTGAAAGAGGCATGTACAGACAAATGTCTTTGCTAACTGTACAGTAAGTAGAGCATGTTCATTGCGAAGCTTCCATGTTATTGCTGCTGCAGCAGCAAGATACCCCCAGTAGGATAGTCACTTCCTCCTAAGACACAGCTTGAGTGGCATTTGCACATAAAATGTTGCTGCGTTTTTGTTTGTTAGCAGAGTTCTAACTTCTCCAGTGTAAAAACCTCTCCAGAGCCTAAATTAGGGTTTACCACAATTCCAGTAATCTTCAAGTATGGAACTACATCTGACCTGTTTCAAACAGGAAGGTGTTTGTAAATCTTGTTTACAAAGTGTAGTTTACTACAAATTTTTAACTGATTTCTGATCAGCGCTTTCACAATGCTTTCATCTTGATATGTTTCGTGATTCTTATATGAAATCATTTAAGACTTGAAAAACCCATGCATCATAAAACTCTATTTTTTTTTTTTCCACACAATGTCTTCAGTAGACAGTGACTTCTGGATTCAGACCAATCAATAAAGGGGATCAGTTCTCCATTTGCTTTTCCTGTGTCTCCCTCTTGTTTTGCAGCATCAAGCTACAGGCAAAACACTTCCCTTAAAGGGTGCTGCAGGCTTCCCAGTTAACACTACTGGAGCGTCCAAGGTCTGCCACTTAAAAAACAAACGCCAGAACTTTAAAGATTGGCTCTAATGTGTTAGAGCCTTTCTGTTAGTACAAGCATGCCTGTAACAGCCACTTTCACTTTCTAGCTTGCTGAGCACGAAGCTGTGTACGCAACTAAAGTTCTTCCAGCTTCAGTGAACATCTACTCTAGAAAACCTGCACGCCTCTTCTTAGCTCAAAGTTAAGCAGAACTGAAGCTACTAATACTACTGTAAGTAAACTTGATAATGATGCAATTAATATTAAGGGTTGTACCAACCAGCAGAAGCTCTTACAAAGGAGAAGTTAAATCAATGCTTGGTTGGTGACATAATTACAGTTAGTTCTACTATCCTGGCTAAATATGGGTAACTTCTGGTTTAATTTTCCTTTAACATTGGACTTCCCTGCAGGGCAGAACTTAAATTCTGTTGTATAAGCAGGCTGCTGGTACTAGATTCACATGAAGGCATGTAGCCTGCAAACCTGATGGGTTGTACACACCATCTTTTTCCAAGAGGAAGCCTCAGTGTTCTAAGCACTGACCGTTCCAAGAAATGAGGGCAGCAGCTTTGGCACTCAGTGTGCTCTTGACTAGGGAAAGGTAGCTGAGTGTTTTATTTCTGACAACAGCTCTGTTTTGGTAACATGGTCTCACCCCTCCTCTTGAGAGGGCATGTTCTATCTTTGGATGCTAAATGCTTTGAAGAAAAACACTTGATCTTCAAGCAACCTGTTTGAAAAGGAGATTGAGCTACAGCTCCGTCACAGTACAGGTACAGTCTGGGAAATGCTGACCTGTAGCACTGACAGAAGTAGACCTTGTTGTGCTAGCCAGCCTGTAAAGAGTGAAATTAATTCCTGTCTGTTTTCCTTTTCATGACTTAGCTTTACTATAGCCATGTTTTGAAACTGAATACTTCTGTGAATAGTTAGGAGTAGCACAAGTAGTACTCCCTGACTTAACTGCAACTATTAATTCCAGGCTAGACTTGCACAGTGCTGGCAGTCAAGACAAAGCTAAACCACTAGCACAGTAGGTCACTCTAACCATAGACTACACCACCAATTTACATAGTTAAGATTTCACAACTTTATTTTGGGCTAAGTTGTTAGGCAAGAGCAGCCCTTCTTGTTAAGCAGCCCTTCAACTCCTCCTTGCTGTTCCCCTGAAGAATTGCACCAAACTGATCCCAGGCTGCTTGTATGGACCAACCCTTGCTGCTGTCAGGTTCCTCAAGGTTAGACTCCATGGCCAAACTTATTTGGAGCCCTTTCTTCTCTTGGCCAGCTCAGCTAGTTCTTCCTGGATATGCTGGACAGAAGCAACATCTCCCTTCTGTTGTGCCTGCTTGAGAGCTTCTTTGTACACTTGTTTTGCTTGCAGAAAGTCTTCTGTAGCAAGAGGAAAAAGTTGGCATGGCTACCTAGTTATATTGGCCATTTTTAGAATCCCCTCCTGAAGATGACCATGTGCAAAGGACAAGCAAGAACTACTTGGAACACATCAAGAACTAGGGAGGTTCAGAAAACATCCAGCATGTGCCAACTATGAGAGGTAGGCAGCAGCAATGACGATGGGACAAGGTGCTGCTCCAGTATTAAGAGCTCACAGAAACAAGTCTCAAGCATGTCTTCTGTCCTTTTGGAATCAGTTATTGTACATACAGAACAAGGGAAATAAGATCCCCTGGCAACTTTTTGAGTCAGATGCCCCGGTACTGCATTTATCTAGGCCAGGATCCCTCAGCAGCTGAATTCAATTTGAACACAACACAGATTGCCTACACAAAGTTAGCAGACCTCCTGCTTTAAACTAAAAATGGCAGCACATATCTAACACCGTGGTTTGATTCTCCAGTACAGGTATCCACAGTCAGCACAAGCGTGGTGACAAAGGGTGGACATTTATTTACCCACCTTTGTGCATCAGAATTGCTGCCAGGTTGTTCAGCACCATGTGTTCCTCAGGGTGTTGAGTCTCCTTTGCCAGCTCAGCTGCCCTCTTCACATAGGAGTATGCCTCATCATAGTGCCCCTGAGCATCCAGTACAGTTGCTAAATCATTCATCAGGACCACAGTCTGCATCAGGACAGAAAAGAAACCCTCAGAACAAGACCTGTGAAGTCTGGGGCAGCAGGAGCATCACATTCATAGCCTTGTCACGCTAGTAAAAGTAATATTTCCCAGAGAAGTAGAGAAGTTTTCAGTAAGAAAGTGTCTTTTATTTATATATCAGCATGCTCATTCTTCCTGGCAGGAAAGCAGAACCTAATTTAGTGCTGTGTACATCTGGTGCCAGCAAAGCTGCTTTTAAAGCTGCCTCATTCCCTAGGAGATTAGCCTTTCTTTCCCTAATAGTCCAATTACCATTGTACACATCACCTGTGGATGAGTCTCTCCCTGAACATCATTTGATATCTGCAGAGCCTTCTCATACATTTTTTGGGCCACTGGGAGCTGGTTAACATTTAGGAGATAGCGAGCATAGGAGTCTAGGCTCATCCCAAGCAAGAGACGGGTGTTGGCCTTTTCTTCAGCTGCAAATAGAGAGGAGTGGAAGTGATCACTTCTACAAGATCAAGCATGAGTCTCCCCGTCCTACGCGAGTAGGAAACTCATGCGCTGTGAAGATAATGGATTGACATGAAGATGGTGCTTAGGCAATATGAAAAGCAATATCAAAGACAGGGAAACAGAAAAAAAATAATGAGAAGCCTTTGGCACACAAGGCAGTCCCACCTGGTAAGACATCCTCAGGCAAGTCCTTTTGCTTGGCAATCTTCTCTTCTAAGGTCAGGATGCAGAACTCGTATCCAGCCAGGGCTAATTTGTGCCTGCAAAGTAGCAACAACTGAGCAAAGCAAGGCTGCTTCCATCCCTGAAGGTACAGATGTGAACACCTTCAATCCCTCATTCCAGAGGCCCTGTGAGACAGCCTTTCCTCTCAATCTGATCCTTCTTGCCCTCAGTGCTTTCTTCTTGATCATGCCCTCAACCCTACTCTTGACCCATGGGCTAAGGGATCCAAGAGGTGGAGAGGGCCCCCACCCCCCAGATAAGGCCAGCAAAGGCAACCCAATGCTCCACTGAAAAATGAAGCTGCAAGTTCTCAGCCACTGCTTTGAAAGCCACCTTTCCTGCAGGGTGTGATTTAAGACTGAAGAGCTGCATCCTCTGTGGTGGCTACTGCCCAAAGCTGGGCAGATCCTAACAGCCATCACTGTGCTGCATGACAGTGGGTAGGCAAATATCATGCCTCTGGGACGCTGATGGTATCTTGTCACATCCCAGCTTCCTCAGGCACTCTATTTTTAGAGGAAAGAACCTCTGCTTGGCCACCACTGCCACTGTGAAGATGAGATGAAAGCAGAAGATGCCTTTAGCAGGGAACTCACTGTTTCTGAGCAGCATAGATACTGGCCAGCTTGAGGGACATCTCAAGGATTGCATTGTCATCCTGCCAGGAAGACATACAACACAACTGTTACTCTTCTTGCATCTCCCCAGCAGAAACATTACTTTGTCAAGAGAACAAGTTTACACCTTAAAAATCCCCATCCGATTGTCTCCAGAGCTGCCACTCATTGAAGGAAGTTCCTGAAAAGCTGGCAAGCTCAGAGCTAGTGTTGCCAGTTTTCAGTAGGAGATATTACAGCACAATTAGCCCAAAGAATTGTTAATACTTCCAGCTGAAAGCCTTCATCAAAAGAACATACCTCCTTTGTGTCCCCTGCAAGCAAATAGCTCATACTTGCTTTGTAGAGCTTTTCCGCCTGAAATGAGAATTTTGAAGAGATACTGAAGAATGATGGCACTTAAACCAAAAACTTAAACTACCCTTTACAGAGACAGACTACTGTGAAAAACCCAACTGATAATTTGTGTCATTTATGTCATATGTCAAGACCAGTTAGAAGCGAAAGGCTAAGCAGAGCCCAGTGGAACTGCCAACTACTGCTCCCTTTCAGGTTTTGCTTTAGGACTGCTACACCAGCCCTGAGTTTACCACATCTGTGTGCCTTCAGGGCTTTTCCAGAATGTCCTCAGAACAGCCATCTAAATGGCTGATACTGGCATTTGACACTGAGAAGTGTTTCTTCCCTTGCACACCATGTTGGAGCTCAAAGTTTAAACTGCGAAAGCATCTTAGCAACATGTGTTCTATGGGCCTGCAGTCCCAGGTCAGATTGTTCTTCCTGGGAGATCTCTGCTTCACAACTCTGACTGTGCAGCTTGTCACAGCATGCCACACCTTCAAGATCTTGCCGAAGATGTCAGCCTCTTAAAATTTGGAGGGGAAAAAGAACTGCTACTCACATTGTCCAGCTGTCCCTGCATGAAGGCCACGTTCGCCATCTGGAAAAGACAAGACACTGCTGAAGCTCCAGGAAGGCTGCAGGGACTGGGATTGTTTTGTCTGGAGAAGAGGAGGCTGAGGGGAGACCTTACCACCCTCTACAACTACCTGAAAGGAAGCTGCATAGAGCGGGGTTTGAGCCTCTTTAGCCTAGTAGAAAGCGACAGGACGTGAGGGAATGGCCTCCAGTTGCGCCAGGGAAAGTTCAGACTAGGTATTAGGAAGTATTTCTTTACAGAATGGGTTGTTGGGCGTTGGAGCGGGCTGCCCAGGGAGGTGGTGCAGTCCCCATCCCTGGAGGTGTTCCAGAGTAGGGTGGATTTAGAGCTTAAGGATCTGCTGTAGGTGGGAGCTGTGCTGGGCGAACGGTTGGACTAGATGATCTCCAGGGTCCTTTCCAACCTAGATGATTCTGTGACTAGCCTCAACACAACTGCTTTTCCTTCTACCTGCCGCTCCACCACAACCCCAGCAAACGACACTTGCACCCTCCAGGCCACCCCCCCGCCGCCTTTACCATGCTGTACGTGTAGACGATGGCCTTCCTGTTATCCGCCTGGTGCGACAGCCGCAGGGCTTGGTGCAGAACCCGCTCGGCCTCCCCCAGCTCGCCCTTCATGACGCTGAGCTGCGGAGGGGAAAGCCGCGGGGCACTCACCCGCCAGAGCCCCGGCCTGACGGGCTCCCGGCCCC